TATTATGGAAGGCTATTAAAAGGATACAAATCCACAGCCAAATGAAGACATACATTGGGCAAGGTCCTACAGCAAGGAGCTTCTGTCCTCCCGGAGCTTGGGGCCAGGCATGGGGGCACACAGAAGTGTCAGAAGTGTTCTGTTTCCCCCACATGGAAGCTTTCCAAAAAGAAGGGCAAAAAGCTGTCCTTTTGGGTTTTTTTTTGTTTGTTTGTTTGTTTTTTTTGCGGTACGCGGGCCTCCCACTGTTGTGGCCTCACCCATTGCAGAGCACAGGCTACGGACGCGCAGCCTCAGCGGCCATGGCTCACAGGCCCAGCCGCTCCGCAGCATGTGGGATCTTCCCGGACCGGGGCACGAACCCATGTCCCCTGCAACGGCAGGCGGACTCTCAACCACTGCGCCACCAGGGAAGCCCCTTTTGGGTTTTTAAGATGACTTCATTACATAGTTATGTTTGACCAAATCACTGGCCAATGGCAATTGATTCAACCTCAAGCCCCTATCCCCTCCCCAGAAATCAAGGGGTTAGGAGTGAAAGTTCCAACCCTCTAATCACGTGGTTTGCTCCATTGACATCCAGACCCCCAACCTTAGGTGCTTTCCAAAAGTCACCCTTCTCAGAGCAAAAAGGTACTTTTATCACTAAACGCTTAGGAAATTCCAAGGGTTTGGAGAGCTTTGAGCCAGGAACTGTAGACGAAGGCCAAATATATATGAGACCTATATTTCGGTCACCTGAAAGACCAAATATGTATTTCTTATAAATCACAATATCGTAGAGACAGTTATTCAACATCCGCATAAGGGGGAACTTGCTAGAAATGCAAATTCTTAGAACCCATTCCAGAGATAATGAATCTGAAACTCTGGGTCAGGCTCAGGACCTGTGTTTTTTTTTTGTTTGTTTGTTTTTTTTTCTTGCGTTATGCGGGCCTCTCACTGTTGTGGCCTCTCCCATTTGCGGAGCACAGGCTCCGGACGCGCAGGCTCAGCGGCCATGGCTCACGGGCCCAGCCGCTCCGCGGCATGTGGGATCTTCCCGAAACGGGGCACGAACCCGCGTCTCCTGCAACGGCAGGCGGACTCTCAAGCACTGCGCCACCAGGGAAGCCCAGGACCTGTGTTTTAACAAGCCCTCCAGTTGGTTCTGATCTTTGCTCAAGTCTCAATTCTGCCACTCACTAGCTATGAGACCTCAGACAAACCACTTAACCTGTGTGTGCCCAAATTTCCATCTGTCAAATGGAGATCATAATACTTGCACCAATTGTCTTATAGCAATAATGTTATGAGATTCAAATGAGGGGAAAAAAAGTGAATGTGTTTTGAAAAATGTATTAACAGTATAATACTGTTGCTATGAAGATAAAACAAATTTTGGAGGAGCCCAGAACCATACTACTCAGGGTGTGGTCCTCAGACCCACAGCACTAGATAGAAATGCAGACTCTCGGGCCTCATCCCTGAAGTCACAAATTAGAATATTAGAATCTGCTGCTTTTTTTTTTTTGCCATAAAGCACGGCATGTGGGATCTTAGTTCCTCCACCAGGGATAGAACCCAGGACCCCAGCAGTGAGAGCGCTGAGTCCTAACCACTGTACTGCCAGGGAGTTCCCTAGAATCTGCTTTATGACAAGATACCCAGGTGATGGGAGTGGGGAAAGCACTGTGTGGATCGGGACAACACACAAGTGTAAGGCATTACTCTTTATCAGGCAGGTACAGTCATGAGCAAAGTAGAGGGGCCCCTCTGCTCCACACCTGAGCTCCTCCCAGTGGTCTATCTCACCGTTGATCAGACACATAAATGCTATGAAAAAGTTCCCACTGTGAGAATTTAGGGAGGTACCATTAAGTGCTACCTTAGTGGGCTTCCCTGGTGGTGCAGTGGGTGGGAATCTGCCTGCCAATGCAGGGAACACAGGTTCGATCCCTGGCCCGGGAAGATTCCCACGTGCCGCAGACCAAATAAGCCCGTGCGCCACAACTACTGAGCCTGCGCTCTAGAACCCGTGCTCTGCAACAAGAGAGGCCACGACAATGAGAAGCCTGCGCACCACTCACTGCAACTAGAGAAAGCCCGTGCACAGAACAAAGACCCAACACAGCCAAAAATAAAAACATAAATAAATAAATTTATTTTTTAAAAAAAGTGCTACCTTACTGAGAGACAATTCCTATTAATGAGCTTAATTCTTACCACCTGTCCTCAATTCAAAGGTTATAAAAACATGTCAGTCATATGATGTTTTTATAATCCTTTTATAATTGAACTTCACACAAAATCATCTCATTGCCCTATAAAAAATGAATTGGGCCCTTCACTGCGGCCACTTAAAGGATCAGACCCTGCAGGAACTCAAGAGAGGCTATCCTTTTTTAATACTTAAAACTACAGGGATTATCCAGCTTTCAGGTGACTCTTGGAAAGCATGTTACTTTTACCATTTTGAGCTAATTAAGACAAGCTTTGGAAGAGGAGGATGGACAATGTCCCCAGAAATTTTTTTTTTTTTTTTTTTTTTGTTTGCGGTACGCGGCCCTCTTACTGTTGTGGCTTCTCCCGTTGCGTAGCACAGGCTCCGGAAGTGCAGGCTCTGTGGCCATGGCTCACAGGCCCAGCCGCTCCACGGCATGTGGGATCTTCCTGGACCGGGGCACGAACCCGTGTCCCCTGTATCGGCAGGCGGACTCTCAACCACTGTGCCACCAGGGAAGCCCCCCAAGAAATTTTTGATGCAATATTCTTAGCTAACTATTTGCATGTTCAATAAGTGCCTCAGGTGACTTTTATGGTCAAGCAAGTTCAGAAAGCACTACTCTAGATTCTAGCTCAGTTGTTCTCAGCCCTGGCTTCCCACTGAAACCATCTGAGAGCTTTAAGGGAAAACTATGGATTCCTGATTTAGTTGGTCTAGAGTGGGCAGGGCCTGGGTCTGGCTGTTTGGTGCAGCGAGCAATGAGAGCCCTGCTGCCTGCTAAGAGGTCCTGGTGGAACTGGGGGTGAGTTTCCCCTATTACAGGCTGAACTGTGTTGACCCAAAATTCATATGGTGAAGTCCTGACCTCCAGTACCTCAGAATGTAACCATATTTGGAGATAAGTCCTTTAAAGATGTGAGTTAGTTAAGATGAAGCCATTAGGTTGGGTCCTAATCCAATCTGTCTTGTGTCCCTATAAGATGAGAAAATTTGGACACAAAGGTACACCAGAATGTGCGCACCGAGGAAAGACCACGTGGGGACACAGCAAGAAGGTGGCCATCTACAGGCCAAGGAGAGAGGGCTCAGAATGAAACCAAAACTGTGGACACCGACTGTGGACACCTTGATCTTAGACTTCCCACCTCTGGAACTGTGAAAAAATGAATTTGTGTTGTTTAAGCCTCCAGTCTGTGCTATGGGTCATGGCAGCTCTAGCAAACTAATATATCCCCTATATCTCAGAACTAAGGATGTGAGGATGTTACACATATCCAAATGTGTGTGTGAGACCTACAGACTAGATCTTTCTACTCTGTCTGCTCCTCCAGGAGAAGCAGGGGCTACACTGAAGTAAAGATAAGAGGTGAATGGAGAAGCAGCCTGGATATAAGCCCTGAGCATATGGGAAGTGAGCAAAAATGATGCTTCCAGAGGGAGTTCACATTTCAGTGCAGAAGCACAAAGAGCATTAGGATAACACAGAGGGAAAAAAAAAAAATCCCTTCAAACATCAATTCCACAGACTGCCTTTACTGACCCCACAAACAAGTTAAGTCTCCCATCATCCCTTGGGCTTCTCGTTCATGGCACCTGCTATAAGTAATTACTGTTTAATTATTAAGTTCCTGCCAAAAGTGATCTGCTAGACAGTATATGAGAGTGGAGGCTGTGTCTTGACTTGTGCACCATCTTGTTCCCCACCACTTGGTACATATTTGTTGAACGAAGGGATGAACGAAGAAGCACTTCTAGCAACCACGAGCAAAGATGGTACCAACAGAACTTAATTCAGCTGATGAATGAATTAGTGAGCAAATAAGTCAATGAAGAGGTGAACCAATGACTGAGCACTGACTGGATGTTTGTGTTTTAAATTCGTCTTAAATGTGTTCTAAATTCAGTTCCCATTAGATTTCATGACAGTGATTACTCAAGAGGAGATTTCTCCTCCCGAGTAATTTGGTAATTGCACTTTTCTGCTGGACCCTTCCGTTTTAAGTAGAGTCAGGTGCCTTGTGAATCATTTAGGAAATCTGCAAAAAAAAAATGCTTTATACGTGTATGTGTGCATATGTACACACACACACATATACATACACATACATATTCAATATATATATATTCCGCACATCACCACCGATTTCATGTTTGGTTCAACGTAAGACTCTGATGATCATGTATAAAACCTCACAGGGGTAGAATCCCAGTCCACACATGCCCACCCCAGTCCAATCCAAAAGACTCATGTACTCAATGTGCAATCAAGTTCATAGACAAGCCCTCTGGTTGTTTTTCACCTTTGGGGAAAATGGGGATTTTTTAGTGCAAAGTCGTGGACAAACGCACGTTCCACAATTCAGAGGCTTCACATCCCTGATCGAGGGTCACATTTTTATTCAGACTGGACCACTTGTCTTAGCACCAGTCTCCAAACCTTTGCCAGGTCTGGGAGTTTTGGGAGCGGAGATTTCTAAGGATCAATAATTCATATGCATATCTCTTAAACTACAACTCTTCCCAGGTTTTTGTGAACTAGTTCAAATATTACAACAATCTTTACTGGAAAATCTCAAATATTTTGTCTGGAAAACCCAGCAATTCAGGTGTAAAAACAACAGCAGGGAATGCCCAATTTTACTTCTGTATTTACATTGTAGTCAGTTTCCACTCCTGGCTACAGGCTTGAATTTCCCATCTGGGAATCTCCTAAAGGCCCAGGTGTCATGGAGGAAGCTGCTCCATCTTCATCTTCTTTCCTTATTTGGTTGGGGTCTGGGTACCACAATAATTATCAGGCCTTTAGATTATCTTCTTGAACTGATCGCCTAAATCGCAGGTCTGGGTTTGATACAGGAGAAGAGAAGTTAGCACAGATGCACACTGCCCCATATCTCCAAGGGAAAAACCAAATTAGCTTCCAAGATCCCACAGCTTCTCAGGCCTTCCTTGCCTCCTCCTTTTAAGTTTTTTCAATTCTCTCCCTTGAACTCCCATCATTGGATGCTGTCAGTGAATGCTATTCCAAAAAGATGAATGGGTTTATTTGTTTGTTTCCTCCCCAACATTCATTCCCCTCCTGGCATCAGCCACAGGTTTTCTTTGGAAAGCCACCTTTCTCCACTCTCTCAGTCCCTGTGGTCTGTATGTTTGTACCACCTGTATCTAGAGATGAGGTCTGCGACTCGGATCTGGCCAATGAAATCATCACAGTCTCTTGGCCACAGCAATTGGTTCAGATCCAATGAAACACAATGAGAATCTGGATCTCTTTCACACTAGACTTGAATCTGAGAAGCTACAGAAGCTAAGAAAGCTGTCTTGTAATTATCAGGAGATAACATGGAAAACAACTGAACAGAAAGAAACCAGGTTCTGGTGACGTACTGTGAGCCCCTGCTTCTGGCCACACCTAAAGCCAGAATTATTGTTGAGTTTTGGCTAAAGCCAATTTGGGCCAGTTCTTGCAATTGAACAAGTGACTGATACAGGAGCAGTTCTGACCCTCTGTCTTGGGACCTATCATCTGGATGAATTAGGCCTTATTCAGTGCCAGTTGGGTACTCACCTCGAGCAGCATCATGCTCTCTGACATGCAGAGGACCAGATTGCTAAAAAAGAAGAAAACAAGAAATCTCATCACTGGAAGAGAGTGTACACCTCAGATCCTGCTGCATCAGTGGTGAGACTTGTGAGCCCTCACCATTTTAATATTAACAGGTGACAGATTAAGACCAAGATTCAGCCATAGAAATATCAAACATGTTTTGTTTCAATTTTTTTTTTTTTTTTTGCGATACGCGGGCCTCTCAGTGCTGTGGCCTCTCCCGTTGCGGAGCACAGACTCCGGACGCGCAGGCCCAGCGGCCATGGCTCATGGGCCCAGCCACTCCGCTGCATGTGGGATCTTCCCGGACCGGCGAACGAACCCGTGTCCCTTGCATCGGCAGGCGGACTCTCAACCACTGCGCCACCAGGGAAGCCCTGTTTCAATTTTTATGGGCAGTGATTCCATTCATTTAATGATTCATTTCACAGATATTTACTGAGCATTTACAATATATACCAGGTAATATATTAGGACTTGCAAAGGTACACTCATGATCCTTGCCTTCAAACGATTTAGAGCTGGGCCTCTAGATCCCTTACCTATATTGTGCTGATGGTATTAATTTGCACAGGCAGTAAACGACGTGGCAATCTCTTCTGACAAGATCATAACTTCTAAAACTAGTAGCATTTGAATTAACATGGGTTTACTGTTTATCCACATTTTCTAGGACACCAAGGAAGCCAGCACAGGCTTTGGTATTAGAGCAGGATTCCAGGCATCTCTTGTTAAGAATGAAATTGGTAAAAATCTTTTTAAGAGCGTGATATGGCAATATCTGTTAACATTATCATGTGCATGCCTATGGCAGATAAAACACTCACATAAAACAATTATAATAAAAAAAAGTTTCATTACACATCGTTTTTAGTATTAAAAAAAAAAAACTGTAAACAACCCAAATGTCCAAGTAGGTACAGACTGAAACAATGTCTGAGATATAGTATTAAGCGGGGAGAGGGGGAGTTATGTGCAAAATATGTCCCCTTTTTTGTAATAAATAAATAAACAAGAATGTTAGTAGATGCATGCTTGTTTGCAGATGCCTGGGGGAAAGATCTGGAAGAATATACACTGAAGCATTAACCCAGTGGGGTGAGATTTCAAGCCATTTTTCTTCTCAGTGGGATATATTTCTGTTTGGTTGGGTTATGGAAAAGATGCAGGCAAGCTCCACGAGGGTAGAGCCCTATTGTGATACCATGATAACCCCAGAACCTAGAATGGGGCCAGGCATAGAACATGGTGAATGCGTATTATTTATTTTTTTGTGTGTGTGTGGTACGCGGGCCTCTCACTGTTGTGGCCTCTCCCGCTGCGGAGCACAGGCTCTGGACGTGCCGGCTCAGCGGCCATGGCTCACGGGCCCAGCCACTCCACGGCACGTGGGATCTTCCCGGACAGGGGCACGAACCCGTGTCCCCTGCATCGGCAGGCGGACTCTCAACCACTGCGCCACCAGGAAAGCCCGCATATTATTTTTTTTTAATAAAACATACAGAAATGTTAAAACACAGAAAGTGAAGTGCCCTGATGTGATTCTAGTTTCCTGATGCACTTTTCCCAGGAGGGCAAATCTGTGTCACAGGGATCCCAAGGCGGCTTCCAGCCTCACCTCCACGTCTCTCCTTTCTGGCGTAAACAAGGTGGGGCTTGCTCTCTTCTCCATATCCTGCAGTTTGATCAACTTTTCTATCAGGAACATTTTGTCTTTGCCCTCCTGCCAAGAAGGAAAACAAAAACAAAAACATGGAGGATGAATGATGGTGTGGGGTTGGGAAGCAAATGATGGAAATGTTGATTTTTAGGCAGGTAGGGTCCTGGACATTGGCTTCACCACCAGGGAAGCCCAGTTTCCTTAATTTTAAAATAGAGGTTAAAGAAATAAATGTGCTCGGGACTTCCCTGGTGGCTCAGTGGTTAAGAATCTGCCTGCCAATGCAGGGACACGGGTTCAAGCCCTGGTCCGGGAAGATTCCACATGCCGTGGAGCAACTAAGTCTGTGCGCCTCAACTACTGAAGCCTGCGCGCCTACAGCCCTTGCTCCCCAGCAAGAGAAGCCACCACAATGAGAAGCCCGTGCGCAATGAAGAGTAGCCCCCGCTCTCCGCAATTAGAGTAAAACCCACTCACAGCAATGAAGACCCAACGCAGCCAAAAATAAATAAATTAAATAAATTAAAACTTGCTAAAAAAAAAGAAAAAAGAAATAAATGTGCTAAACACCACCGCAGGGTTACAAATCAGATATATCCAGAATGTGGTAACAACTACGAGACAAAAGACCTGGTTTCTCCAACAATAAGTGGCAAGAGAAGCAGGAAGTGTGAACAGCTATAGATTGAAAGAAACGTAAACGACACATCAACCAAATGCAACATGTGACACTTTTTCAGATTTTGACTTGAGTAATCCTGCTGTAAAAAGACAATGCGGGCTTCCCTTGGTGGCGCAGTGGTTGAGAGTCCGCCTGTCGATGCAGGGGACACGGGTTCGTGCCCCGGTTCGGGAAGATCCCACATGCCGCAGAGCGGCTGGGCCCGTGAGCCATGGCCGCTGAGCCTGCGCGTCCAGAACCTGTGCTCCGCAACGGGAGAGGCCACAGCGGTGAGAGGCCCGCGTACCACAAAAAAAAAAAAAAAAAAAAAAAAAAGACACTTAATGGGACAGTTGGGGAAATTTGACCATTGACTGACTCTAAGATGATAGTAAGGAATTATTAAATTTTCTTTTACGTGTGATGATTGGTACCGTGGTTATGTTTTTTAAAAGGGTGTATCTCTCAGGCATATAGAAGAGTCTACAGATAAAATGATATAAAGGCTAGGATTTTGCTTGAAAATAATCGAGATTTACAGCAAAGAGACAGTGTAGAGGACAGAAGAGTATGCAAAGGTTAATGGCTGTCAGGGCTAGGTGGTGGGAAGGTTCATTGTACTATTCTCTATTTTGGACTGTGTTTGAAAATTTCCATTACAAAATGTTAAAAAGGAGGGGAGAATAACAAAGGGATCCAATGGGACTTACGTTAATGATCTGTTCATGGAGCAGTCTGATCATAATCTTCCTTCCCTCTATGATCTGCCAGTAAAGGTAAGTGATGATTCTGGAAGAGAAGAAAAGAAAGAATGGCAGGGCTTTCCTGGTGGCGCAGTGGTTGGGAGTCTGCCTGCTGATGCGGGGGACACGGGTTCGTGCCCTGGTCCAGGGGGATCCCGCATGCCGCGGAGCGGCTGGGCCCGTGAGCCATGGCCGCTGAGCCTGCGCGTCCAGAGCCTGTGCTCCACAACGGGAGAGGCCACAACAGTGAGAGGCCC